CAGGAGAGGTCTGCCACGCCATGTGGTCACCTCCGGGGCAGGTGGGAATCGAACTCATGAGGAAGTGGCTTTAGTTTCTCAGTGCTGTGCTCCAACCCGCTGCGCCACCAGGGAGGGCCTCTTATATTGTTAATTTTATCTCCAACTATGTTTCCCAAAATTCTCCCACCAGCAAAGCACCCATAATCCACCTCCACAGTACCCTGTGCTCTTCCCCTCTCTATTTTGAACCTCCCTGCTATATTCATTAGGTCTCTGGTCACCTTACAAGTTTTGTCTTTTCTCTGATCCTGTGTTCTACATAAAAATGAAACTATCCAATATTTTTCTTTTTCCTTTTGACTTATTTTGCTTAGCATGCCTTCCAACTTCATCCATGTTGTTGTAAATAGCATAAATTTCTTTCTTTTTTGATCAATGAATAGTGTTTCACTGTATGTATTGATCCTTGCATCTATTTTGAGGCATTTAGTTGTTTCCATATCTAGTGTTGCAATAAACATAAGAGTCCAATTTTCCTTTTGAGTTAGTGTTTTTGTGTCCTTTGGGTAGACCCCCAGAGTGGAATTTCTGGGTAATATGGTAGATCCATTTGCAGATTTTGAAGTACCTCCACACAGCTTTTCCTACGCCTGGTCTCGTTTAAATTCCCAATGGGTGGAAATTTTGGTGTAGTGTTAATGGAAAATTGTCTGACTAGAGTATACACAAAAGCTAAACCTTGGAATTGCACTTTCATAATTTTTTTTTCCACAAGAAAATAGTTCTGCAAAAATGTATTACCAAAAAATCCAAGGCCCTCCCCGGTGGTGCAGCGGGTTAAAGCACAGCACTAAGAAGCTAAAGCCACTTCAGCATGAGTTCGATCCCCGCCTGCCCCAGAGGTGACCACATGGTGCAGCGGACCTCTCCTGACCCATCCGCTGCTCCCCTCAGCAGTGCACTTCATTGATCTGCCTGTTCTGCTCCCCACTCTGTCTCTGGTGAATCCTCTCTCCACCCCTGCACGTCTGATCTGTACCCCAGTTCCGTATGCACACATAAATAAATCTTTAAAAAAAAAAATCCAGTGTAGCATTACTTATATAACTAAAAATAATTTAAATTTTTAATAGTTTTTGGTTAAATGAGTGCTGTATAACATTAATCACTATGCAGTCATATTAAAAGATAATGTAGGTATAAATGTGTTGAAATAGAAAAAACTTTAAAAATCTGTTACCAGATGATGTATATAGTGTTTATTTTAAATTTTTTAAGAGATTTATTTATGCATACAGAACTGGGGTACAGGGCAAAGGTGCACGGGAGGTGACAGAATTCACCAGAGACAGAGTGGGGAGAAGAACAGGCCAACTGACAAAGTACACTGCTGAGGGGAGCAGCGGGAGGATCAGGAGAGGTGTGCCAGGCTGTGCCATGTGGCTCACCTCAAGCAGGGATGGAACTCATGCTGAAGTGGCTTTAGTTTCTTAGTGCTGTGCTTTAACCTGGGAGGGCCCAGTATTAGTTTATTTTTATTTAAAAATTAACAAGGGAAAAGTCTGATGGCTAAAATTTTCTTCCTTTTAATATAATTCACGCAAGCATTGTGTTCATATATTTTAATTCAGTAAATTCACTTATAGAAGTGCCTTCCAAAGAGATAATAAAATGCAAACTATTAGAAGAGCAGAAATTTTTCCATAATGTATTTTGAATTACCTTGGTAGCAGTATTAAAAAACGATGAAGTGGTCAAGAAATGTAGTTTAAGTGAACTGTATCTCAATAAATTGTCTTTAATTATTAAAAAAAAAAATGGTGGTTCAGGCATGTTATATATCAGTCCCTGATCTGTGTTTTCATTTCCACTTTATTTTGGAGAGGATCAAGGTGGATTTGAATGTTAGTCTAGAAAGGAGCTTCATTAGTATTAACTCTCTGATAAAAATCTCAATTCTGTCCCATTTTCACAAACTTGCTGTTCAGTTTTCATTCTGACTCCATTTAGTTTGAGTCGTTCAGCTAGCTACTGCCTGTTATTCTTTGTCCTTTATTCCCTTCTTTTCTTTGGTAGTTATTTTAACTAATCTCTTACCAGTACCTTAACATTCAGTCCTTCCTCATGGTCTTCACTGCATCTTGTTTTGATAGTTTGAAATCTTGAACACAGCTCCAGTCCCTCCTTCTGCATGTTTCCCCCCCACCCCGAGTATTTTATGTAATGTTTGATGTGCTAATTACAGTGTTAAGAATTCTTGAGATAGTTTGTTATTTCTTTACCTTATCTTCCTCTTAACATACTCCTGGAACTAAAGCTTTTAATATCACTTCCTACCTTTTATTAGATACCTAGCCTTTTCTTTCCTTTATGGAAAAGATAAAGGCCTCCTTAACAGTTCTGTCTTTACTGCTTTCACCCAAAGGGAGACATTCCACTACTGAACTCTAAGGTTAAATCTGTACTTTTTGTTTAATTGTTGGTCTTCCTTCTCTAGGACTAGTGGTTTGTTTTTTAATCAGTTCCCTAATCATTTAGAATTTCAGTTCCTCTTACAGTGTTTTCTTTTCCTTTAGATTTTAGTCTCTTCTATTTTAAAATTCCTTTTCTTCAGCTTTACTCTTTTAAAAATATTGCTGGTCTTAGAGATAATAAAATACACAAAATGAAGAATGGGTTCTTTTATTTGTAATTATTTTTTACATCAATTTAAAAAATATTGCTGGTCTTTTCTTTATGCTCCTTGGAGGAGTAGTCTGAATTTATAGCTTTCCTACCTTCCACTCTACTTCATTGATCCATTATCTCTATCTGTTTATATGCCATTAGTTACATCTGATGCCATCCATTCTTCTGAAACTTTCCTGAGGTATTTGGCCCTACTTGCCAAAATCAATCTTCTTAGTTTAATTTTAATTCTAGATCTTACTTCTCAAAACATTTGTTAGTTATATCTTTATTAAAATTGTTTTTTTCTTGATTTTGTAGCCCTATTAAAAAAAAAACACAACAAATCATTTCATGTCCTTTTGATAGAAGTTAATTTAGAGTAGAAAAGTTGGAACAGAGGCACCACAAGACCAGACTTACATAAGGCCAAAGCTGGAGGTGGAGGTAGAAGTGATTAATATATTCATTAAACCAGTTATAAAAATGAAAAATCTTTAGGTGCCAACCTGTTGATCAGGAAGTACAGACCTAGGCAGGTGTCAAGACTGCTGTAAAGAGAGAGCGTCATAGGTTGCAGATTAGAGGCGAGGATATGGAGATTGAAGGCTATTGTAAATCTCTGGTCATTTTCAGATTCTGAGTAGTTATCCAAAGTAGTTATTCAAAACTAGCAAAAATGAACCATTTCACAAAGGGATGAGCCCTTCCCAGAGTAAAGAAGACTCTTTATCAGTGCCTTTTCTGCACTGGCAAGGGGCAGCATTCCTTCTGCCCAGCTGTGAATAAGGGTGCTTCTTTTCACCAAATTTCTTTTGTGGAGCAACAGTAGCAGCCCTTCTGCCTGCCTGTACCTATAACCCCTTGCTGCCAGCAGTCCCTTTGCAGGGCAGCAGCCTTCCTGCCCACCTGTAACCAAGTTGGTGCTTCTCTTCACTGACTGCGCTTTACAGGCAGCAGCGGCAGCTCTCCCAAGGCTGCCGATGTGTGACCTTAGAGGCCTTTCACTCAACAAACCTGTCCCTTTCAGGGGCATCTCTTTCTGCCCACTTATGTCTATGCAAATGTCCTTTATCCTTCACCTCTTTTCATAATAAACATGCTCTTTTCGGTAACTAACATCTGTCTCTTGCCTGAGATATTTGTTCATGCTGCTACTGAAAGAGGAGCTCTGGTGGAACTTTTACCCACTCTCTGAACCCAACATCTACAAAAAATGACTTCACTTTTACCCTTCTGTATAACAATAAATGATACCCAGAGTTATAGTCTGTACATTGTATTTAGATGATAACTACCTAATTTTGTGCTTCGGTATTATTTACTTGTTGACTATTTCCATATTCTTATTGTCAATCTGAGACCTTCTGTAAACTCCAACTGTTGACTCATAGCCATGTATCCAACTTTCTATTACCATTTTAAGTTCAGAATGTGTCCACTCCTACATTACCCTTCTAATGCTTGTTTTTTCCCGCCTTGAGCCCCATTTCTAATAGTTTTGCTATTTGTTGTATCACTCAAGCTAGAAATCGTGAATCTTTTTTTGATTCTTTCATCATCTTTAATGTTCATGTATAAGGAATTATGAAGTCTTTCACTTAAACCTTCACATAATTAAAGTTTGCCTTTTCTTTCACTAAAAATAAACTTTCCCCTTGCTCTCGCTTTCCCCCTTCCCGTCCCCTCCTCCCCCCACCCTATTTGCTGTTTGTCCATATTAGGACTCATTGTCTATCCCATGTACTGGTAGCTTTCTTAGCTCATTGTGCTGGATTCAATTCCAGGATATCCTTCACACTGCTGCTAGATAGGTAATGAAAACACAGGTGTGGAAGTATTATTCCCTCACTTAGAAACTTTTGGTGACTTGTGATTATGTTTTAGAACCACAAATCAGTATGATCAAATATTTTGTATTCTACTTTTTGCTTGAAGAGGAAATTTTAGAAATATACTTTTAACCTTGAGATATCAAAATTCTTTCCATACCAATAGATTATTGTTACCAATTAGGCCAGTTTACAATCATTGTATTGGCTCTTCAGTTCACACATCCTTCAGCACCTGCCCCATGCAGTAAATACTATTAGGTGCTGGTAATGTAAAAGAAAAAGTAACATGGCCCCTTCCCTGCACCCTAGTGAGCAGATTGAGTCCAGCAATGTTGGTGTTTTACTAGAAAGTCTTATAAGTTGCTGTAGAAACTTAGAAAGAAATTTAAGTCATAATGTTTTAAGAATTTACAATGTGCCAACCACTATACTATGACTTTTAGACAACCCCAATGTTTAATGGTTGACAAGATTGTTGGTCCTCAGCTGAGTACTTAAAAAGAGACTTAAGGGGCCCTCTCTGTTGGTGCATCAGGTTATGAGTTCAATCCCTGGCCAGGGAGGTGAGCAGCATGGCGCAGCAGACCTCTCCTGTCTCGCCTGCTGTTCCCCTCAGCATTGTACTTGGTCAGTCTTCCTGTTCTGCACCCCACTCGTCTCTGGTGAAACCTCTCAAAGCCCTTGCACCTCCTGTACCCCAGCTCTGTATGCTTAAGCAAGTAAATATTATTTTGACGCCATTGCAGGCACACACAAAAAGGTTTAATAAAAGGATTATTTACATAAAGGGGAAAATGAAGATTGACTCAGCAAGAAATAGAGAGAAATAAATTGGTAAAAGTGTCCTACTAGTTCCATTCAGCTGGCTACCCAATAACACACTGAAAGCCCAAGAAAAGCCAAGGACCACCAAGGCACAAATATCTGGTTCTATACCAAGCCTGGCTGCTTAACTCCACCTTCAGTTCCCCTCTATCCTCCCTTCAGTGGTGATGACATTATGGATTGTACTTGATATTTGGATTTCTTTGGTCTGGGTGGGAATGGAACCCATAAAACCTGTGTTAGTGGAGTTCATTCAGGATATCCTTTGTCCCCATTAGTAAGAGCATTCATTCCATCCTGGTTTATCAATGGCCATTTTCTAGCTCTGTATTCACATGGTGGAGATAATCTCATTCCTGTCTTTTACAAAATCACTCACCCCCACTCTAGGGCTCTACCTTTATAACCTAATTAGCTCCTAAAGATTTCTCTTCCAAAGGTCATTGCATTGGAAGTTAAAACTTTAACACATGACATGAATTTTTATGAAAACATAAAGTTTAATCCCTTTTTAGGATTATTTTCACCTCATCCCTTGCTTTTATGTCTGGCTTTTACCTCCTCTAGTAGTGTTTCTCCAACCTTGTACTGCATTCTAGCCACAGTTGTTTTTTTTTTTTCTCACAACTTAAAGATGACATTATATTACCACCTATTTTTCATTAATTTTGATAAGTTTTTATTGTTTATTGGTTCCTCTATAAATGTCTTTTTATAAAGATTTTCTTGTTTCATTATTTTAAATTCTTAAGCATGTATGATAATTGTTAAAAGTCCACTGCCAATTCCATTTTCTCTGTCATTTCTGGTATTGTTTTTACTGTTTTCCTGTCTGTGGTGGCTTATAATTTGAAGCATTTTTCAGATGTCTAGTAATTGGAAGGATACTGTAAATTTAAAAAGTCATGATATTGAGTGGATTTTAAGACCTTCCATTAAAGAATGATCACATTTATTTTGGTAGCCATTTAAGTAAAGGGGTCTACTTTAGTAGGAAGGGTTCTGCAGTGGAGGGCATTTACTTTATTTTCATTAAAAAAATTATTTCTGCATATTCTGTACCCAGAAATTCTTGAGAGCTTTTTAATTGAAAGTATTCATATATTTTAAAGTGCTGCCTTTATTTAGTTTTGAAAAAGTTAATCTTTACATTAAAGATTTTTTGTATTTTTAAGGATAAAAGCAGTGGGATTCAGTCCTGTAAATGGAAAAAAGTGTTTACAAATAAAACAATTGAAAGATACTTGATATGACTATAGATCTGAGATATACAGCAGGGAAGGAAGAGGGACTATGGTGCTAGTTCATGGGTGATACGGTGGTGGGAGCATTAGTGGAGAAATCATTAGTGGAGCATTACATCTGAGGGGAGAAATCATATTTTACAAAAATGAGCAACAGTGTAATAAAATGAATTGTAATCTGTTAAAAAAAGATACTTGATATATGTAAATCCTAAGATTGAAAAAGCAAAGTATTTTTAATTAGTTTACTATGTGCCTCTTAACCTAGTGCGGCTGGAGGTGAAATCTTTGACCAGTGTGTTGCAGACAGAGAAGAACGTTTTAAAGAAAAAGACATTCAAAGACTTCTGAGGCAGATTTTGGAAGGTGTTTGCTTTTTACATATGCATGGTGTAGTTCATCTTGACTTGAAGGTAAGATCTGAATTACATTACATTTTTGAGATTGCTAGACAATGATACTCAAGATATAAGATATTGAACAGTGAATGTATTTAAACATTTATCAATTTGTGTGTTTTATTGAGTAGCAGAATATACAAGTTGTGTTTACTCTTATCTAGCCAATTTGTTTTATCAAGGAGATAATTGCATATGTATGTCTATTGAAAGATAAATAATACATTGATGAACCTTAGAAGATATTGCTTAGTTAGATGAGTGCTTCCTGATAGACAGGCTTGAGCTAGAATAGACCTTTAAAAACATTTGGTATTTAAATAGGCAGAAAAGACTAGACAAAAGTCTGTATACTGGAGTTAGGAATACTTCTACTCTATATGGACAAAAAAGTGGGGAAGTTTTACTGGAAGTGAGACAGGAGACACTGAAAATTGAGAAAAGACCAAGCTGTCACAAAGTTAGATTTTTCTAATGTCACAAAGTTAGATTTTTGAGCAAAAATATTTGAGAAATAGTGTTTTCAGTAAAGCAGGCAGCAGTAAATACAGCAGAGAATTAAAGACATTGGAAGCAGGTAGATTTCAAATTTAAGTTAGGAAAGGAAAGGGTGGAAAGTAGAAAGAAAATACAAAAGGCTATGTATCAGTTACAATCTTTATAAATGCTCAAAATGCCAGAAAAGTTTGGTGAACAAAAAGGAAAATTTCATTGGCCAAAAATCAGGACTAATACTACACCTAATTAAAATATTGCCAATACTTGATTTTTCTTTAGCCCTCATCTCTGCCTCTCACAATAGCAATAAGATAGTAGATAGTTAGATATTGCTGTTTTAGCATCTACACTGTCCAGGAGACTTATCAGGAAGAGCTGATCACTATTCACTAGCTCTTCAGAAGTCCCTAGAGTCACACTCATTAAACCAGTTTGAATTAACTCAAATCTAATGTGTGTGCACTGGGGATTATAGGACTTTTAACTTACCACACCTGTGTCATTGTCATATACTCCAATTTTAGAATTGGAGGGGTAAACACTGCCTCCTACTCCAACTTTTATGTGACTGAGAGAAGGGAGGGGATGGATTTTCAGATATGTTGTTTTTGAAAGAGTTGACCAACAGTAAATGTCCATTGCAGGTATTCTTGATGTACGTTTTCAGGCGTCTTTGTAGAAAAGTTTAAGATCCCTGTTGTTATTCTGATAGTTAACTTCTGTAAAAAGTTCAGGTGTGTCTGTGGAAATGAAATTGTCTTCAAACTGAATATGTTACAGCACTCCAGTTTCTTTTCAACCAGAGAAGATGGGGTTAGGAAGGAAAGTAGCTTTGGGCTGAAAACCTTGAGCCCCAGAATGCTTTTCTATTCTGGACTTCTTTAATCTCATTTCATTCATCAGCAGTCCATCAAGAAGCTCATCTACTGGCAAGGAGATTATTTGTGGCATTGGTTCTCCAACATTTGAATAGGTCAGGATTACCAGGAAAGACTTGTTAAAATCCATTTGCTCTACCCAATTCCAAAGTTTTTGATTCAAGTTAGCTAGATACCACTTTGAGAACTGCTGTATGGTACCTTTTGTGTACCATATATTGCTCATAAAAGTGCTTAATTTTTTTTTAAGATTTATTATTTATGCATATAGAACTGGGGTACAGGCCAGAGGTGCAGGGGCAGTGAGAGGCTTCACCAGAGACAGAGGGAGCAGAACAGACCGACTGATGATGTACACTGCTGAGGGGAGCAACGGGCAGGTTAGGGAGGTCTGCCACGCCATGTAGGTCACCTCCAGGGCAGGGATCAAACTCATGCTGAAGTGGCTTTAGCTTCTTAGTGCTGTGCTTTAACCTGCTGCACCACTAGGGAGGGCCCAAAAGTGCTTAATTTTTACTGCGTGAAGACACTTATGGAACAGTGTACAGTTCTAACATAGCTATTGACTGCTAAAGTCACTTAGAAGTTCCATTTGCAATAACGTGGAAGGGTAGTGCTATTCCTTCAAATACTAGTTTTCTAAGGAAAAGTATAGGAGAAAAAGCAATTAGATGTCTTTCTTGTTCTTTTTAAAAGATGGCAGCTTACTTAACAATCTGGAAATAATCAAACTAATCTAGAGATAAGAAGTAACCTATACTGAAAACTTAGGTTTGTACCAAAGTAAGCATTTCTGATGGGCAACTAGAGTACCACCAAGTAATCATTGCATTTGCTTAATTTCTTCATCTTAATTCCATTTGTCCCATGGTTTGGCAGCTGAATATTAAGAGTAAAGTTAATGTAGGACAGAGGAAAAATAGCAGGATTGACTTGTGAGGTGAGGAACAAATAATATTTTATAGCTACTCATCTGTGAAAATGAAAGAACTGATCTCTAATGGAAAATATTTTTTGAAAAGGATTTCCTGAAGGGTGTATTGATACATCTCTAATGCATAGTGTTGTAAACCACCATTGCCTTCATAAAAAATAAGATTGTTTCCGTACCAACACTTGTAGAATAAGAAAGATGTCAACCTAATTCATTTTGTGATACTAATCTACCATGACTGAAATGAATAGTTAAAACAGAGTGGCCATGTAGTAATTATACTGGCATTTAAAAAGTTACTTTTTTAATGTTAGGTACTTTTTTTCATGTTGTTAAATTTTTTCATGTTGTTAAATTTTAATTTGCTAGAATTCCATTTCTCCCTTCAGGTGGTAGTTCTACCATCATAGCACCTGTGATCAATACCATAGTCTCATGTGCTCTTCTCTCCCTGTTTTGACTCCTACCACTTCCTCTCCACTCCTGCATCTATGGTCAGCTTACAAGTTTTGTCTTTTTCATGACCACAGCAGTGTACTTCATCACTCTGTTTTGTTCCCCACTCTGTCTCTTGTGAACCCTCTCACCCACCACACCTCTGGCCTATACCCCAGTTCTATAAACATAGATAAATAAATCTTAAAAAAAAAAAAGTGAAATCATACTTGTGCTGATCCAACATTGATCTTTTTCCTTCTGCTTACCTATAATTCCTACCAGCTCCTCCATGTTGCCACATACATGACATGAGTGGTAGTCCATTGTTTCGTAAATTCCACATTTTCTATACATTTCCCCTTTGTGGTTATTTAGGTTGGTGCCATATCTTGGCTAAAGTAAATATTGCTGCAATAAACATAGGAGTTCTAAAGGATCCTTTTTCACTTGTTCCTTCTGTTTTTTTTTCATATGGGCCATCCTCACAGGTGTGAGGTGGTATTTCATTGTGGTTTTGATTGCATTTCCCTAATAAGTGATTGTCAACATTTCTTCATATTCCTGGTGGTCATTTATACTTCTTTGGAGAAGTGTCTATTTAGCTCTTCTGCCCATCTTTTTATTCGGTTGTTTGTTTTTGTTGATTTGTATCAACTCTTTGACATCAGTACAAGTATGTTTTCCCATTCAGTATGGTTTCCTCTTTGTTTTGGTTACCATCTCTTGCTGCACAGAAACTGTTTAGTTTGATGTAGTCCCAGCTGTTTATCTTCTCTTGTTTTGCTTGCTTCTAGAGGTGAGTCTTCAAAGGCAACTTGAAATTGTGCTATGATTGTTATGCTTCTCTTTTCTATATTTCTTTTATGTTTTCAGTTATTACAGCCAAGTCTTTTATCCATTTTTAGTTTACTTTTGTATATTGTGTGAGACAGTAGTCTAATTTCATTCTTTTGCATGTGACAGACTGGTTTTTCCAGCCACATTTATTATGTGTTCATGTCTGGGCTTTGAATTCGGTCCATTGGTCTGTGCATATGTTTTGTTCTACTACCGTGGTGTTTTATTCTAATAGCTTTATGATACAGTTTGAAGTCTGGGAAAGCAATGTTACCCCGACCCACTTAATCCACATTTACTGAGGACATGAGGACAGCTCTGGCTGTTTTTGTGTGTGTGTGTGTGTGTGTGTGTGTGTGTGTGTGTGTGTGTGTGTGAGTCCATGTAATTTTACCAATGTTTGTTCCATTTCTGTGAAGAATGCCATTGAGGTTTTTATTGGCATTGCATTGACCCAAAATTGCTTTTGGTAGGGTCGCCATTATGACAATGTTGATTTTTCGATCCATGAGCAGAAAATGTTTATCCATTCCTTTGTGTTTATTTCTTTTTACAAATTTCCATGTATAGGTCTAACATTACCTTTGTTAAACTTGGCCTTGGGTATTTAATGTTTTGGGGTAAAATTATAAATGGGCTTTTCTTAATTTCTTATTGTACAGACTAATTGTTTGCATATAAGAAGGCTACTATTTTTGTATATTGTTGTGGGTATGGTGAATTACATTGACTTACCAGTGTTGACCATTCTTGTGTCCCTGGAATAGGTTCCACATCATCATGGTGCATAATCCTAATGATGCATTGTTGGATTCAGTTTGCTAATAAGGCTTTGTTGAGGATTTTAGTATATGTGTCCACTAAGGAAACTGGCCTATATTTTTCCTTTTGTGTTATCTTCATTTGGTTTTGGTATGCAATGTTGGCCTCAAAAAAAAAAAAAAAAGCATCAGGTAGTGTTCTTTCTCAATTTTGGGAAAGTTTTTGCAGGATGATATTAGCTCATGTTTGAACATTTGGTAGAGCTCGCATGTGAAACTATCTGGTTCTTGGCTTTTGTTTCTTGAAGAGTTTTGATTACTATTTCAGTTTCCTTGCCAGTTGGTTGGTTCAAGTGTTCTATTCCTTATTCAGCCTTGGGAGATTGTATCATTCTAAGAATTTGTCTATCTCATCTGAATTGTTGAATTTTTTTTAACATATAAACTTTCATAGTAATCATTAGTTTTTTCTCTGATTTCTGCTACATCTCCACTTTCATTTTTTGTCCAACTTACTTGAGTTTTCTGACTTAGTGAGCCTACCTAGAAATTTATTTTATTAATTTTTCTCAAAGATCTAGCTTTTGAGTTTATTGACCTTTTCAACTTTTTTATTTATTTCTGCTTTTCCTTTTATTCCTTTCCCTACATCTTTTGTCTTTGTGTTCT